GTCCTGCTGAGAAAGAAAACAAAGCAGTAAACTTCTAATATGCTCACATCAGCAACAGATCAACTTGCAAGAATGTGGAATAAGTAAAATCTATTTTAAAGATGTTTGCATTGCAATGAAAATCCCTGGAAAGCTGCATTAGTAAATTGGAACAATTAATTGCAAAAACTTCTAATCTTCCACTGCAACATATCTTACCAAAATAAAGAGGCTTCTGGACAATATCACTTTCCCTGCTTAAAACATTACTTTTGTAGAAAATTATCCTAATCTTCAGCTTGGTAGAACCCATTTCACTGCAGCTCTGTTAGGTTCTATTTGACTGCTCTGGAAGCAATCATCATCTCTCAGACTCACAATCTGAGAAACAGAGTGTTTTAAAAAAAAAATATATATATAATAAAAGCCAGCCTGTCAATAATTCTTTACTGATACCACATAAAACACTTGGATTTCGCTTTGGTTGTGATGCAAAGTTTAGTGAAACATGCAGTGTGGTAGATTCTGTCAGAATGTTGCACAAAAGGAAAACCCTCAATACAGTATCTTGCCTTTAGCAGGAAAAAAACAAAGCCACAGAAATAAGAATCCTTTAAAAGCATGTCTAAAAATTTGGACATTCAATAGACATGGCAAACAGGAAAAAAAAAAGGGTATTAAAAAACAACAACCCTCCACATGGAGATAAAGCTCAAATGCTGAGTCTCTGGCTTAATAGGTCATGAAAACAGCACACAGACAGTCCTTTTAAACAAGGAGACATTGCCTATTCAAAACTCAGCTATTATATCTATTTACCAACGCCCAAATAAGCAATTTGTCCCACCTTTGTTAAAGGAGAGCAGCATTTCCTAAGTAAGTCTATTTTCAAGCTCACTACATGGATTTCTACAAATTTCTACTAAAACTTACCTGAAACTTTACTTTTTTTCTTGGAATATTATCAAAGACACGCATTTGCTCCAGAACATTCCGCACTTTAGGGCTTATGTTTGGCTTCTTCATTACTTCATGAATTTTCTTAACGAAGAAAAACAGAACTAATTCAGCAAAGAAGCGTAATGATTAAATGATACACGTGAGGTAAGCAAGTCAGAAACACATTGGTCAGAAACCACCCAGTACTCTTGACTGCATAGCTTGCCCAAAAAAGCTGTTCAATACAAACAGGAAAAACACTAACCTTTTATCATAGATCATAAGATGGCTTAAAGTTCTCTATGTAAATATTTACAGAGTAAGCAGAGGAAAGCAGGCCTGCTCTCTAATGCTTTCTGATGTACAAGTTACAGCCTGTAATACTGTATCACAGAGGGAATTCTTGCAGCATGAAAAAGACCTGCACTGGGAAAAGATACTGTCAACCAATTAGCTTCTGCAAACTTCTGGAGCTGTGAAAAATCAGGCTAACTTTGAGGCTACAGTTTGACATGCATTTCTTGTGGCAGAAGTACCAGCTTCAACAACCATGAATCCCCATAAAACAGCTCAGGCATATTCCTATGCTACAGGTGCCAGCACAAGAGAACAGATGTTAGGCCAGGGCCTTGTGGCAACTGCCTGAACAGCACTGCTGCTGGTGGGGAAAACAGGCTCTGAGTTTTCCCTTATTTAAAGAAGTAGTCACTGGAAACTGCAGAGCCTTCCTGTGCTTCTGAAAATCTGTTTAGTGAAAGGTTTTCTGGATATGTTCAGACTACCAGAAAAGGATGCCCTAAATAAATAAATAAATGAAAAGGAGTAAAGAACACAGAAAACATCATTACGACGCAGAATAAATCTGGTTCATCCATAGCATGAATAGTGTATGTAGTTCTTGTAACCTCATTTCACAAGGATAGAGTAGAACTGGGAAGACTTCAGAGGACCAAGGACATAATTTACATATGAAGAACAACTGAGCAGGATGGGACTTTCCAGACCAGAAGAGAGACAGATGGGGAGGGACACCTGACAGAGGTCTACAAAAGCATTTGTAGCATCAAGAAGGTGAACAATGATCAATGTCTCTTTGTATCCAAGAGCAAGGGAACATTAAATCAAACTAGCAAGAGACAGATTCAAAACAAACAAAAGGTGTGGTTCCTACCAGGGTAAGCAATAAACCTAGCAGTGAATTGTCAAAATAAGAGATGTGGATATTAGAAAAAACAGATCTCTGGTTTGACCTGATACAACCTCTCTTTTAAAAATTATAAACCACAGCTATTTATCACATCTTTACGTAGTATCAACATTACCTGAATCCACTCCTGTTGTTTAGCATCTCCTTTGTTAGTTTTGGCTTCAAAATCCTTTCCACCGTATTTCTGGTCTTCACTTAGGCACTTCACATGTTCCTTATAATCATCACCCCTGAACACAAGAGATTTTTAACTGTAGCTCACTTAAGTGTTCCAGCCCTTCTAACCATGCAAGACTTACATAAATCGACAAGCTGAAGTAACAAATGGTACCATCTATCATTTCAACATGAATACTGTCAACGCTCACATGAGTAAAGTTTGACATGCCTGAAGTACATGCTGTGTACTCCAGCTGTATACAACAGTATGTGACTGCTGACATTTCTGTCATGCTACAGCCTTCAGTGAAAATTCCTGACTTGCAAATCAGATCTGAGTCTTTAGCATACTGCTTCTTGTATCAATGACTGTAACTTCCGCACATTTGTATGTGCAATGTATGCTGAGCTCTTAATGCACCTCTGTGTTACTGCAGGCATTTACGCATCCTAAAATTAGAAAAGCAGGTGAAAAATGCTTGCAAAAACCTAACTCCTAAATATAGATACAGTAATGCGGGGGTGTAGTTCTGACCAGTATGTAAGTGCCCCCCAAAAGGAACAAATAACACAGATCTTGGTCTTTTGTCACTGCAGTGCTGGGAAGTATAATAATTCTTTGAGGACAATCTTATTTTCTTATGCAAATTAATATATTTTGAAAGCAGATAGCAGCACTGCCTTCTTCTGAGTTCTGACAAGTAACAACCAAACTCAGAATTGTTTATGTTATTGCCAATCTTACTCTGCAGCAGCAGAACAAGTATCAGTTGATTGGAAGCTGAAAGCGGTGTCACTCAGCATCCTGAAAAAGGAAACTGCAACTTTGTTTAATGTGTGGTTTAGTTGTCTTTGTGGTTCAAACTTGGATGATTACACTTGAAAGTACACAAAAACATGTATAATTAAAAAAATATATAAATACTAATTACTCAGAAATTAGCAAATGTAATTCTAGTACATCCTAGGACAATCTTGCGACAGCCACTGCAGAGTGAGCAAGGCCATTTCCCACTCTCCACCTACCAGAAATCCTTGCCACAATCCATGCAAGAAAGGCACTGGCAGTTTCTGCAGATGTTCACGTGTTTCTCCACCTGTGCTTTCTTCACCGACTCTCCACAGGCACTGCAGGTGAACACGACCATCCTGGCGAGCAGGCAGCAGCTTCGGCAAACTGGGTACCACCTTCCTCCTGCCCACACAGGCACGGCCCTAGAAAAACGAGATCACAGAATCGTTTTGGTTGCAACAGACGTTTAATATCATCGGGTCCAACCCAGCACTGCCAAGTCCACCACTCGACCAGCTCAGGGACCTAAGAGGGTATCAGCACGGCTTTTAAATTCCCCCAGGAATGGATGGATGGATGGCTGGCTGGCTGAACCCGTCCCACTGCCCGGCAGCCCCTTCCGCCGAAACTTGAGGGTTTTTCCCCAGTATCCCAGCTAAACGCTCACAGCCTGGAAGCAGCGGCCGTTCCACCCGCACCCAGAGCGCTTCGCTGCCAACGGCACCGCGAGCGCGGGAGAAACGCGCGACCCCCCGACCCCCCGCGCCGATGCGGGTCACGGCTGCCCCGGCTCCTCCCGCGGCCGCAGCGCAGCGGCCCGGCCGGGGGG